GTCACTCGTAACGTGTTACGTTTAATGATGTAATTTTATAATACTAATACCGAACACAAACAAATACAAACAATACAAACGATTAGTTTAATTAACCAAACAGAAGTTCTTTGATCGTACATATTTTATCTGCTTAATCCAATTCAAATAATCACTGCTTATAAATTACTTTATACCATTTTACTTAGCAGACTCTGGTTTTCATTTTGATGGATAGTTTATTTTGTTTCCATGATGGACTTTTTATAAAATACACTTTTTCACACAACTAAGTAGGTATAAATATGATTTCATTGCTTATCTAAAACCAATTTTTGGAAGCGTTGTCTTTTTTGGATGTTCTAATTAACTGAACATATTCAACTGTTAATCATTTTGATAACGTAATCAAAATTATCACTCCTAAAAAATAATCTAACCGAGTGACACCTGCAACTACTATTGCGGATATCACAGATAAGCGCTATCCTGGAACTGATAAGCAATCCTATCTCTTCGAGAGAATCATAATGTGATAGTTATTCTAATGTCAGTGTTACTTTGATTTTCATTGTGTGAAGATGAATCAAATTACAATGCATGGAACTAAAAATTGGTATATAGATTTAAGCGTTTTTAGTCGGAAAACGGTGCCCGCTGGAAATGTTATAATTTTGAAGTCAGCGTACTCACTTTGTATGCCTCGTAACTTTTTTATTTTTTTTTAGAACTAACGTAAATATTGGAGAACTATCGAGAACTAACAAAGAACTAATGATTGGTATATAGATGTAAGCATTTTTATTAAAAAAAACTGTGCCCGCTGGAAATTCTATAATTGTGAAGTTGGCGTACCCACTTTTTATGCTTCGTAACTTTTTCATTTTTTGAGAACTAACGCAAATATTGGAGAACTATCGAGAACTAACGAAGAACTCACGATTGGTATATAAATATAAGCATTTTTATTTAGAAAACTGTGCCCGCAGGAAATTCTATAATTGTGAAGTTGGCGTACCCACTTTTTATGCTTCGTAACTTTTTCATTTTTTGAGAACTAACACAAATATTGGAGAACTATCGAGAACTAACGAAGAACTAACGATTGGCATATAGATATAAGCTTTTAAAGTCATAAAACGGTGCCCGCTGGATATTCTATAATTGTGAAGTTAGCGTACCCACTTTGTATGCCTCGTAGCTTTTTTATTTTGTGAGAACTAACGTAAATATTGGAGAACTATCGAGAACTAACAAAGAACTAACGATTGGTATATAGATGTATGCATTTTTATTTAAAAAAACTGTGCCCGCTGGAAATTCTATAATTGTGAAGTTGGCGTACCCACTTTTTATGCTTCGTAACTTTTTCATTTTATGAGAACTAACGCAAATATTGGAGAACTATCGAGAACTAACGAAGAACTAACGATTGGCATATAGATATATGCATTTAAAGTCATAAAACGGTGCCCGCTGGATATTCTATAATTGTGAAGTTAGCGTACCCACTTTGTATGCCTCGTAGCTTTTTTATTTTGTGAGAACTAACGTAAATATTGGAGGACTATCGAGAACTAACGATTGGTGTATAGATATAAGCATTTATAGTCAGAAAACAGTGCCCGCTGGAAATTGTATAGTTGTGAAGTGTGCGTACCCACTTTGTATGCCTCGTAACTTTTATATTTTTTGAGAACTAACGTCAATATTGGAGAACTATTGAGAACTAACGATTGGTATATAGATATAGGCATTTATAGTTAAAAAAAACTGTTCCCGCTGGAAATTGTACAATTGTGAAGTTAGCGTACCCACTTTGTATGCCTCATAACTTTTTTATTTTTTGAGAACTAACGAAAAAATTGGAGAACTATCGAGAACTAACGACAAACTAAACGATTGGTATATAGATATAGGTATTTATAGTAAAAAAAACTTTGCCCGCTGGAAATTCTATAATTGTGACGTGTGCGTACCCACTTTGTATGCCTCGTAACTTTTTTATTTTTTGAGAACTAACGTAAATATTGGAGAACTATCAAGAACTAACGAAGAACTAACGATTGGTATATAGATATAGGCATTTATAGTAATAAAAACTGTGCCCGCTGGAAATTCTATAACTGTGAAGTTGGCGTACCCACTTTTTATGCTTCGTAACTTTTTTATTTTTTGAGAACTAACGTTAATTTTGGAGAACTATCGAGAACTAACGAAGAACTAACGATTGGTATATAGATATAGGCATTTATAGTAAAAAAACTGTTCCCGCTGGAAATTGTACAATTGTGAAGTTAGCGTACCCACTTTGTATGCCTCTTAACTTTTTTATTTTTTGAGAACTAACGTAAATATTGGAGAACTATCGAGAACTAACGAAGAACAAACGATTGGTATATAGATATAGTCATTTATAGTAAAAAAACTGTGCCCGCTGGAAATTCTATAACTGTGAAGTTGGCGTACCCACTTTTTATGCTTCGTAACTTTTTTATTTTTTGAGAACTAACGTTAATTTTTGAGAACTATCGAGAACTAACGAAGAACTAACGATTGGTATATAGATATAGGCATTTATATTAAAAAAACTGTTCCCGCTGGAAATTGTACAATTGTGAAGTTAGCGTACCCACTTTGTATGCCTCTTAACTTTTTTATTTTTTGAGAACTAACGTAAATATTGGAGAACTATCGAGAACTAACGAAGAACTAACGATTGGTATATAGATATAGGCATTTATAGTAAAAAAACTGTGCCCGCTGGAAATTCTATAACTGTGAAGTTGGCGTACCCACTTTTTATGCTTCGTAACTTTTTTATTTTTTGAGAACTAACGTTAATTTTGGAGAACTATCGAGAACTAACGAAGAACTAACGATTGGTATATAGATATAGGCATTTATAGTAAAAAAACTGTTCCCGCTGGAAATTGTACAATTGTGAAGTTAGCGTACCCACTTTGTATGCCTCATAACTTTTTTATTTTTTGAGAACTAACGAAAAAATTTGGGAACTATCGAGGACTAACGAAGAACTAACGATTGGTATATAGATGTAAACATTTCTCCTCAGAAAACGGCGCGTGCTAGAACCCGGAAGTGTGAAGTTAGCGTACCCACTTATAATCGGCTATAACTTTTTTATTTTTTGAGAACCAACGAAAAAATTTGGGAACTATCGAGAACTAACGATTGGTATGATCAAAAGTGGATACGCTAATATGGGTACGCCAACTTCACGGACCTAAACAATTTGATTCTGTGATGTTCAATAGCATTAAACAGTTATAAGGTTTACCAACAGGGTGCAGCACTATTACTGTTTAAATTGATGACCAATTTGAGCTAATTTGAACCAAGCAGCAACAAAAAGCTGTGAGAACTGTCAAAGTAGGATTTTTTACAGAGTTATGTTTATGTTTTTAATTTAATAAATAATTTTTTATAGCCTATTGTGGGAATAAGGCGTTTTATTTTTTAAGTGCATAGTTCATTAACTTATTTATTGACTTTCTTTATTCCTATTTGAAATCTATTGTGTTTGTATGGTTTATTTCCCCCCCCCGCCCCAAAAATGTTCGGGAAAAGGAGAAGCCAGTTTATACTTTTAGTGGATCGCTAAAAGTTTATATGCATACAGCAAATCTATGGAACATAATTATTCTATTTAGTTTTCTCTTCCCGTTGCTAAGCACTGGTATGACTGCTATTATATATTTATATTTATGTGTCCATTAGCACGATAACTCGAGCAAAAATGATCTGATTTTGATGAAATTTGGTATAAACGTGTAAACCTACATTTATTCGGAAATAGTGGAAGGCCCAATTGAGTTTGCAGTTTATGGGCCATCTTTGCCGTTTGTTTGTGGAAGAATGTAAAAGACTCGACTGTTTCAATTAATGGACAATAACATAAAGGATTCTTTCGAATTTAATTTGATTTTGTACATAGTAAAATATTGATTTCGGTTGATTTGAATATTGGAAAATGGCACCACGTGTCCTCCATGTGTGTATCGACTTGTACTTGCATATGCCAGAAGTTCACCACGTGTGTATTCCATGACCAAAGCGTGGTTTTCCAGCACTTCTCCAACAATACCTAGACACGGCCCCTGAGATTTACTGATGTTCATGGCAAACAAATGAATAACTTACGACTGAGCAAAAGATACTTTAATACTTTAATACTTTCTTATTAAATGGTGACCATACAAAGTAGGTATTTTAAGCCAAGTATGAATGGAGATGAGTGTAGGATGAGTGGCACGATCTTGTAGTCTTGTTAGTGACTAAAGCCGACATTCCTTAGACACAGCTGTTAATTAATAGCCCATACAGCTAATGGCAACTAAAGGGATCTACAGTTTATAGTGGAATCCGAACCACATTTTTGCCTTGGTATATACGAATTGGTCTAATTATCAGGTTAGTACTGCGGATAGTCGTAGTACTCACTCTTGCGGACGTTAATCCATACCAGGGAGTATCGCATCCACAGTGCATGCCTTTAAATATCCACAATTTGTGACCTCCTAGTAGCTGGATTACAGGACGACACCACCCGTCCCAGTCTAGGATGTTTAAGGACAAGCCATGAATCCTTGTTTGAATTCCGAGCTCTCTTATTTTAACTTACATATGGACTTAACTTAACTCAACTTATGAGTTAACTATCTACCTACTGAATAGAAGAGTGGAGTGGGGGTACCAACACTAAGGTCAGCTGGGGTCTCAATCCCCCCATGCAACTGAGGGAAAGGAAATCATACTCAAGGCTCAGCACACCCGTCCGATGGGCCGAGCCGCTGAGGCCCAATTGACACTGCCCTCCCTTAGTGTCCCTCTAACATTTTGTGTGATTTTATGCCTTTTCAGACTGTAGTTACAATTTTTTTCAGGTTACAATAAGTATGCTGTTGCCTCCATGAAGGGACTAGCTGTGCATGGACTGAGCCTGAGTGGCCCTGCAGGCACCTTCAGAGACTTGAATCATCACAACATCAGCTGGGGCTTCCTTCAGATGTGCAGCTCTATGATATCTCTAACTGGGAGGTGAGGCTGTATTACTACTGTACTTTTACCTTAACACATCAAATAAATAATACAAAATAATGGAACATTCATAACAAATAGTTTGTGAGGAACAAATACTATCAGCTGATTTAGGTCGGTCACCACTTAGCTGACCAAACTGCAGACAAGAGAGAGGCTGCCAGCTTATAAAAAATTTTAAACAAAAATAAATATGTATTTTTCTACGTTTTTACAAAATACATATCTGTTTACATAAATTTGAACAAATTGAGTTTTTGGCCTCTGGGGACATAAAAAAGAAAAAGTTAATCAGTCCCGGGACTAGGCCCTTCTGTGCCACCTACAGTAATAGCTTCTTGCCTAGGCCTATAGGGAAATACGCTAAACGCATACCTACTGCTAGGTATGGACAATTAATGGCATAGTACACTATCAGTATATCTTTGATCCAGGTAATTTTTGACAGTCTAAAACTAAACCCAGCCGCCCAAATATACCTCATCACAGGGCCGTCGCGTGGTTTATTGGCACCTGGGGCGGGATGATATCAGGGCGACAGAGCGACACTGCAACATTGCAATATTGATTTATATTAAGATAATTAAGTTGGGACAGGGCCTTCAGATCCACAGTTGGGTTCATTTTTAAGCTATTATGACTAAATTAAAAGTAGTATACAAGCAAGTACAGCTACTCTATTTTTATAAAATATTTAATTTGGGAAAAGGTTACAAATATATTGATACAAAGTGATTGGTATCAAATAATATGTATTTCTTCAATAAATGCATACAACGTAATATTCAAAATTCAATTGTACATAGCTTTCAGAAATATGTTATGTACAGCTAACTTATTTTTTTCAATTTTGTTGTATTACTTTTGCCGTGGCATCCGTGGCGCCCGGGGTGGTAGCCGCACCCACGCGTCGGCCCTGCTCATCATTGGGCCTAGATACCATTGGGTACCTGGTTCTAGATAAACAGCTGATCTTAGTCAGTATAAAAGCTTCGAAGTCTTCTTCACCAGCTCACACTAACTTTTAATACTAAATTCTTGGGTTCAAATATTTTACTATAGTTCGGCCGCTTAGAAAACGACCTGCGCGCTAATGCTAAACCAATGCTGGAGGAGGTCGCTTTCTAAGCAGCCGAACTATAGTTTTGCTCCCTTAGAATTTTAACGAATTGTATATTATGCCCTAGATGTTATTAAAAATAATATGATTTAAGAAAGTTAGATTTTGTAGTTAAATCTGTAGCTTAAATGTTTTTCACTAAATTTAAGAGGTGACTTATTTTACATAAGTTGGTAGGGCCTCATATGTAATATAAGAGTGAAAATTTAAAAACGTACGTTTTCATGTCCCTGGCCTTTTACTTCGTGTATACTGGATTTGTAGTTTATTATTATGTGTTTTAATATTTTTTGGGACGGGGGCAACATGTTAGACACATTTATTTGGTTTTAAATAGGTTCTAGGTATTTTTTTCGTATTTTTAAAGTCTCGAAATTCACGACCATGACGTGTCCCTAGGGTACATTTTCCAACTTTCACGCTGTTTTTAGACTAATTATTCATTCCGAAATATATAAAGCCATATTTTTATGTCATCAATGGTTATTAAACTTACAAAAAAAGGAGCATATTATAATTTTATTGTCATTACAAACTGACTACCATGAAAAAATAAGTCTGTCCCTCGATTTGGCGTCACGACCATTTGGGAAAAATTTTCAACTTTGGAGCACGACAGTGGCAAGCCTGGCGTCGATGGAGTCAGTTGGTTTTAGAGACTAGTTCGGGGTGTACGTCAGGATTGTAGTGCTGGTCGTTTTGAGTTGAAAGGAGGGCTTACAAGATTAATAAAGGAAAGATTGTGTTTTTTGTAATTTTGGTGTGTCCATGACCGTATGTATTCATTCGATTTTGGTGTGTCATTTTGGTGTGTCCATGACCGTAGTCATTCGATGAAGTAGACATGGTGTTAATTTTTGTTTATAAGATATTTCAATTGCTAGATTAACCTAGAAGTCCTCGAACATCCTTTGTATCCTCGAACATGAGGTGCAGGGATACTGCCAGAACAGAGCCAAATAACACGTAATTTCACGACCAAAGTTTCACGACCATCGCGGGTTTTTTCCCGACCAATCCAGCCTTATGGATTATAGTGTGTTTGGTCGTGACAATAACTTTAATATAATTGTAAATTGAACAGTTTAGTTCAATTGAAACACATATTTTTATTATAACTAACAGGATAATTGAAGGATTGTTTGGAAAGATTTAGATTATTCCAGACAATTCACGACCGTACCGCTTGTCCCTGACCATCACGTTTATGATTTCTATCATAAAAATTTCAAAAATTAAAATATCGTCATATTTTAATGTCTTATACACGAAAGAAGCACACCTCTATACAAACATAACGATTTTTCGGGTCTCAGGTAAGTTTTTTCGGAGTTATACAAACTTAAAAAGATTTTATTGGCTTTTTTTCAATTTTTTGAGTTTTTTTATTTTTTTCTAGAAAGACCAAATATACCAAAAGCTCAGTGACCTTTTTATTGAGCGAAGCTCACTTTCCCTCACTTTGTAACTTCTTTGTAAGAGCATCAGAATGTAATGGCTTGACCAATTGATATGACATTTGGCCAACAGCTAAAGAATACTGAGCACAATGTTTAGGTAAAAAATTATTTGCAAATTTCCTTCTGGATTTTATTTTACGGGTCACGCAATTTCGCTTGTTATTTTAATGTAAGTTGAAAGAAAAATTATATTGGGTTTATGACATATGGGTTTATCTCGTTTCATTCAAATAAGATAAACATATGTTAATTGTTTGTAACTTCAACTTCTTGTCTTGTAACTTCTTGTTTGTAACTTGTTTTGTTTACATTTCAATGTTTACTTTCACTTTCATCCTAGGTTAAAGTTGGAATGCAACAGTTTATCAATTGAAGTAACAGTTTTGCTTTATTTGTTTTGAGCATGCCTCAAAGGCCACGTCGAAATATTGGTCGTCGCACCAATAATGCAAATATTGTAAGAGAGTGGCGTCGTGAACAAGAAGAACCAGACGAAGCAGTGGCGGAAGAAGCTGATAATGATAGGCAGTTAGCTAATCAATTCCAACATGAATTAGATTGATGCACTAATATTTTACACTTGCATTAACTGTCATCGCCAACAACTAACAGCTTCAAACCAATGACGGATTTGTTCGCGTTGTCGTTCAAATGCAACTAAATTCACGGCGTTAAATAATGTGGATGTGTCAAGTGTCCCGAACGAATTAACTGACCTGACGATTGTAGAACAAATGTTGATTGCACGAGTACCTACATCCCGCTATGTGCATTTACAAAGTACAAGAAAATGGTCAGGATGGCCAGTTTCACTACAAAGGTAACATCATTAATGTTGAGCAAGATATTAATGAAATAGCATCTGTCTTACCTACATTGCCCGAAAACTTAAAAGTCATCATTGTCCAACGTCAAGGCGTCTTTGGCCATATCGATTTCAAAGTCCGACGTGAAAAACTACAGCAAGCACTTATTTGGCTGAAGGCAAATAACCCATTCTATTTTCACATAACCATTAGTGATGAAGCGCTACACCAACTACCAGTCAATGATTTTGTTCACATGAGAGTACCGTGTGTGTGTGTACGTGAAAACCAAGAAAGACCTGATAAAATCGAATAAGACCAAGTTGGAGAAACATCGGTGCCTATGATTGCGCAGTCTCGTCAAAGGGATCACGATCAGAGACTAATGTGGCCGACCGGAACACTGTTGAAAGGGAACATAGCGTAGGTTGTTAGCTGCTTTAGCCATTGACAATCTTTAAAAAATGCTTCGCTCATTTATGCGTCTAAAGTGTAACGGCAGACCACCCTAGTTGTATAATGGTCATAAAAGTAAATTAGTTTATAGCAAAACATAGTTACAAAAATAATATTAACTATTTTTAATATTCATTTAAACGTCCGTTATGGTCGTGACAGGATTTTGTGTTTTTCCACTAAAGATGCTCTTTTAAAAAGAAACTACCAAAGATATTGCGTTACCATGGACATTTTATGAAACTTCAAATGTTAATGAAATAAAAAAAAAAATAAAAGTTTAGAAAAATGGGGAAAAAATTTGCAAAGTGCTTTTCCTGAAAATGTTCGTTTTTAAATTTTCACTCATAACTTAATAAACCTTTTATTACAAAATTCATAGTTATATTTTTTTTATTAATTTTTTTTTTCAGCTGTGGTGTAGAAGCCATTACATTTCACAAGAAAGGCGAGGGAATGGCAGAGACAGTAGTAAGCTCCACCTCAGAGTTCTATTCAACAGCTACCACTCTCTATCCCTCGCTGAAAAATCTTTCCTTTGCAAACAAGTAAGTCATCAATGTTTTTTGTTTATCTTACATAAACAAAATCTACAATAGTTTACTTCCAATTATACATACCCTTCTGATGAAGGAAAAACACAGTTTCATCAATTAAAATTATTAGCTTAAAAAATCCAAATCCAAAAAATGTGAACTGATAAAGTGGAACATTCATTTTTGATTTGACTGATTTATTAGAAAACTCATAATTGATACACACACTTTTCATCATACTTTCAATTGCCAAGGGATTTTTTCATTGCATGACGACATGCCTAATTTGTTTTATTTTGTATATCTAGCTTTTTTTATTGCTGAGGTTATATATTTCATGAGACGTTACAAGGGTGAATATTACTGGTTTTTGGTGTTGTATCATATCTACTATAGGGAGAGGGTTGATGAATCAGATTAAAGAACAGCTGTAGCATCAGCAGTAGCAACACTGTGTGTGCTGCCACGGCCTCCTTTAACTACAGGCTCGCGGTCAGCGAGAATTGGCAACGTCGCACTGAGCATTAACTCCCGGCCATTTCACTATTACGGTAGTACGGAACTAGTGGTCGCGGTTTAAATATACTGCATTTTTACACCCTTACAATTGAGATAAAATTTTGAAATTTGGTACAGAGCTAGGGAATAAACCCTTCATGCCAATGGTTTGGTTTAGAAAATTGAAATTTCATTTGGTAGTATATATATATTTTTTTTAATTAACACGTTAGAACAATTTTGGAAAAGTGAAGTGAAAAAGTTAGTCGCCTACTAAAATTTTTGTTTGTTGGTCAGAGAAGTTTTGTCTGTGAGAAAGTTGTAGATAATTAAATATACTTTGCTATTTGCATTTAACTTTTCCTTCTATCATGCATAGTTTTGTTAAAATTTTGGGTTGAACAGAGCGACCAAATCTCAGTTTTATGGCGCGGCGCAGCGAGTAGCGCTGCGCGCAAGCTGTAGTGTAGTATCGCATAGCTAATAATTAATTAATGTCGGCCAACAGAATTATTTCAAGCAAGTTTATTATTGGAACATTGACAATTTTGTCTCTGAACTGTTTAACTGTACATTGTTTCAATATCATATGTTTTACTTTTTATATTAAGCTGTGTTCATGTTTATGTTTGTGTGATCTAAATAAAAGTGTGGATTCCTTTCTGTAATATATTTTGTTTCTCATTAATTTAAAAGTTTATTCTTATCAGTCACCTAGAGAAAGAATGCCTTGGACAAGTACGTATCAGTATTTATGGCTTTTGGTTATCCACAAGAATATTACGTTTGTATCAAATAACGGCACGACTTAATGTCTTCATAACTAAATACCGTAGCCTAAAACAAAAATGCCTTTTCCTTTTAGTTTTAATAATTTTGCTGTAGTTTATTATGAATTTCAAGTATGTGTTTTATTTACACGTTATTATGTAGTATTATAGGAAGTAAAAATATTACTTCATTCATTCTGTTATTGCGCATCCATTAATAACTAATCCATTGATATTCTTGCAACAGACAATCGGAAGGCGTGGCTAGCGAAAACTTTTAATTTAGCGCTCATTAACCAATGGTGGCGTGGCGACCACCATCTTGATTGAATTAGGTGGAATTAGCAAATAGCTAAAATTAGCGGCAACATGTATAATTAGCGAATGTACCAAACAAGCTCATTCTCATCAAACAGTTAAGTATGTTAGGAATATGTCAGATATGGATATTTCGGAAATAGCAGAAACTATTTGTATTTGTGGAGTACATTTGAAAGAAATAGTGACAAAAATTATTTTGAGACTGGAAAATATTTTGTTAAATAACTACACGAAAGTAAAAAGAGATAAAAATAATAGCCGTTATAACCAGAGAAAAATGTCAATCATTTCTTGAATAAAATAATTTTGTTTATTGCTTTTGTTATTTTTATTTTGTATATTAAACGTCATTATTCTAAAGATAAAACAATAGCTTACATAGAAGCTGTAACTAAACAACATTGCAGATAAGATTTAAATTTTTTAAGTGTTTAACAATTAATAAATCATAGAATAAATACGTTGAAGAGACGGAAGAAAACTACAATTATACGCCTAATACTTATACGTTCAATCGTGTTCAATGTACCGTAAAAGCTTTTAATAAATATTGTATTACATTCTTTTATTGACACGAAAGCCTCGTATAATTATTTACTTCTTTTTCTACACATCTGTGTTGTCAGATATAAAAGATCTAAATTAATAGATAATTTGCGTGCTTGTTCCAATCCTCCGCGGCGCGAGCGCAAGCGTTGAGTGGTGTAGCGTAGCAGTAGCCATCCAGCCATCCGATGCGGTGTTGCCACTTCGAACGCTGCGGCCTGTAGTTAAAGGAGGCCGTGGTGCTGCTCACCATTGCTCCTATAGCGAACAATAATGTTGTTTACAACTGACTCAGGAATTACTGATTTTAACTTCAAATTGTCCGCCAAACTGTCTGAGTTTCCGGGAGTCTACCGTATTAATATTACAAAAAAATATATAATACAATACATACAATGGTGCCTGACATGAATACATACATAAACCTGATTGGGATTACCTTTGCTTACAACTGGCCACACTTAGTAGTGCTGACTATGATGGCTTCTGGCTACTGTTTCAGTGAAGCTGATATTCTCTCAGGATGGTGGCGGGAGGAGACATGGAGGGGAGATGTTGCATATGCTTCTTACGTTTCTGAGGTCTTAATGTTGTTTCTTGAGAAAATTAAAATGGAAGGACTGCCACTGTCTTACATTAGTAATGACAATGGTTTCATGAATGAGCCACCGTCGTACTTCAACCAAAGAACTCTACTCACCAGGTTTGTCTCTTGTAATTGTACAGGGTGTCTCCAAACTCTCTACCGACCTGTTAAGGTATCAATACTGGACCAAAGACAAACTTACCTAAACTCAAAAGTATCCCAATTTGTATAGTCGTCATTTTTTTCACAACAATATTTTATAATTAAATTCAATCCGCGTTGTTTGTCCGGACAATTATTATTTTCATCAATCGTTAAGCCTATATCCCGCAGGGATATACTTGCCGCGCGAGGTGTAAATAGAATCAGTTTTGAAAAAGAAAGTGTTGTAAAGTAACTTTACCGGCAAACACAGACCGCCATTGGAAATTTCACGTTCGTTGACCAAATCATTCAATCGCGTTTTTTTGGGGTAAAAAAGCTCATCTAACTTCGCATTCCCCTCCTATATCCCAGTGTTTGTGTCATTGTAGGACGTCTGAAATTTGTAAGTAATTAATGTTATTTATTGTTATAGTTATAGTTTTCAGCACGAATACTAGAAAAATACCGGTATGGATCATAAACATAAACAAATGACGTTGTTGGCCCGAATCCTATACTAATAGCATTGAACATATGTTTTGGCAGTTCCATTAAAGCAATGTTAAATCATGTTTATTTTCGGGCCAAAAACGTCATTTGTTTATGTTTATGATCCATACCGGTATTTTTCTAGTAATCGTGGTTTTCAGTGAGTCGCACATGGTGTAGAATTTTCCTGTTATATCAAATCAAATCAAATCAAATCTTTATTCATCATTAAATAACATGAGTTACAATAGATTTCGTCAAAAATGTATAATGTTAAAACCTTTAAGACACCTCAAAAATATGACTAGGCCAACAGCATGAAAGACAATTGGTTTAGGCCTAAAGGTTTCCAGACAATAAAATAAGTAAAAAAATAAGCAGTTCAGACAAAATGCACCTCGTAAAAAATCATTTTGGTAACTAAGTTAACTTATTAAATAAATAAATACATAAAAACTGGTGTATAATTTAAAAATCAGGTACATAAAAAAATAAGATAATCACAGTGGCTCAGGCAAAAGACTAACCTAAAATAAATATTTGAGTGATAAAACAAGCAAATTAGGCTACTTAAAGAAACTAAAAAAAGAAATTAAGATGCAACAAGCAATTGACTAGGTGAAACTTAAAAACTAGATAACAATTTCATTAGGCCTGTTATACTCTTAAAAAAAAAATCATCCAAGCTGTAAAATGGGTGTTCATTAAGCCAAGAAGTCAAACTTTGTTTTAGGCGATTAACAGGAAGGTCTAAGATTTGACATGCAAAGCAATTAACAATTTTCACGGACATGCTAGCAAAACTTCTTTGAACTGTTGTAAGTCTAGTGTAAGGCCTGTCCAAAGCGTTTCTACCCCTAGTACAATGTGTGTTTATGACACTTCTTGTGTTGAACAAATCTGGATTTTGTTTTACAAAAATAACACATTCTAGAATGTAAAGATTCACAATTGTCATAATACCTGTTGTTTTAAACAGAGGTTTACAGTGGGCCCTACTCCTAGAATTAGTTAATATTCTGACTGCTTTCTTTTGGAGCTTCAGTACAATTGAGATATGACTAGAGTTTCCCCAAAGTAACAATCCAAACTTTAACAAACTTTGAAAAAAGGCAAAATAGGCTGATCTTACATACAAATGGGGCACAAATTCTCTGAGGCGTCTAATTAAAAATAATACTCTGGACAGTTTTCGACTCAAGTTACAAATATGTGTTGACCAGCTTAGATTACAATCCAGATCTATACCTAACAGTTTATCGCTGGATGACAAAGCTTTTTCGTTCTCAGGGGTAGACCCAAGCCTAAAAACAATGGACTGAGTCTTTTCAGTGTTCATCTATAGTTTGTTACATCTTGTTATATAAGCACATGTTTTCAGGTTCAAGTTCTCATTGGTATTTTTAATATCCATTTCTGGTATATCAATCTGTATTACAGTAGACTCCCTCTAGTTCGGCCACCTCGGGACCGGACCACTGGCCGGACTACAAAACGGCCGGACTAACCGGATGTAGTGCATTTACATAATCAAAATACAAATAATAGTATTGCGCAGTCGTGATATGTTAACCTTTCAGAACATAAGAATGTCGATAAAAACATTAAATAACTCATAAAACAGAATAAAATCATAGTACTTAGTCTTAAAGATAATAACGGCAGTCATAAAATAGGATAAAGATCAGGGCCGATTTACCGAATAGGCAAGGTAGGCACGTGCCTAGGGCGCGAGGCAATTGGCTTTTTTGGGGGGCGCCAAAAAATTGGAAAAAAGAAAAAAAATTGTGGCCGTTTTTGCATGCGATCGCGGTAAACTGATAATCCCTTGCGGCCGGGAAGACACCTTAACAGTCTCCCACAATTGCGGCAAGATGTTAATTATTTACCGCGGTTGTATATACGTCATCATCGTCCGTCTCCCGCGATCGCGTCAAAGTTCTGACTATTTCCAGCGGATGTGTGGACATAATTATCGTCTTCCTTGATCGCGGCAATATATGAACACATCCCGCGGTCGTGATGAGATTATCACCGTCTACTGCGAATGAGGCAAAATTGTAATCTTTTCCCGGGGTCGTGTGGACATTATCATCTTCTTGCGTGATCACGATAAAATTCTGGTAAGCCCTCACAGCCGTGAAGACATCATCGCCTCCCGTGGTCGTGAGGCATTGTCATCCTCTCCCGCCATTGCGGCAAATGGTAATCATCTCCCGCGGTTGTTTGGAGATCATCATCGTCTTTCACGAATGAGGCAAATTTCTGATCTTTCCCGTGGTTGAGTGGACATTATCATCGACTTACGCGATTGCGGTAAAATTCTGATCATCCCTCGCAGCCGTGTAGAGTAGACATCATTATTGTAACTCCCGCGATCCTGTAGACATCGCAATCGTCCCCCGCTGTCGTGAAGACATCATATAATCGTCTCCCTCGGTCGTGAAGACATCGTAATCGTCTCCCGCGATCGTGAAGACATGGTAATCGTCTCCGCGCGATCGTGAAGACATCGTAATCGTCTCCCGCGGTCGTGAAGACATCGTAATCGTCTCCCTCTGTCGAGAAGACATCGTAATTGTCTCCCGTGATTACGGCAAAATGTTAATAATATCCCGCAGTTATGTGGATATCATTATCGTCTTCCACAATCGTGGCAAATTTCTGACTGTTTTCCGTGGTTGTGTGGACCATGATCATATCCCGCGGTCATTTAGTCATTATCATAGTCTCGCGCGATTACGGTAAAATCATGATCATATCCCATGGTCGTTTAGACATTATCATCGTATCATGCGATCGCGGCAATATTCTGATTATCCTTCACGGCTCTGTGGATCTCATTATCGTATTGCGCGATCGCGGTAAAATCATGATCATATCCCGCGGTCGTTTAGATATTATTATCATCTCATGCGATCGCGGCAAAGTTCTGATCATCCCTCGAGGCCTTGTGGAGACATATTATCGCCTCCCGTCTCCCGTGGTCACGGAAACGTCACTGTTGTAAATTGACAATTCCAGGTAGAAAATTAACACATAATTCCTGGTTCAAAAAAATTCACGCTTAGTTTCCGGATTTCCCGGTTAGTGGTCACCCTGTTATATATTGCAAAGGGGCGACACTATTAGTTGTGCCTAGGGCGCTGACATGGTCGAAAACGGGCCTGATAAAGATAACAATGGATGACGTAAAACACCGCTTATTCTTTCTTCTTTGTTCTTCTATTCTTTCTTTGGTTTCTCTTCATCCACACATTCAACAAGTTGCCATGGTTACTAATCACCCAATCACAAACTGTTGTGAGATAGCAAGCGCACAGCAGACAGTTGTGTAAAGAGCAGATGATTGTCAGTGCAAGCGGATAGCTTGACCTTGAAGCTAATGATGGTTATTTCTTTGTTTTGCTTTAATTTATTTTTGTCAAATAAACCGTGGTGTTTCAAAAACAATAATGGGGGATCCTACCGCATAAAAAATGGTCCGAAATATTTAATTATACACTGCATTTCAACATGTTAGACTAAAGAAAAACTGTTAATTAAATGTTTTGTTATTTTTGAGGTTATGTAACATAGTTCTACATGGGTAATATGCAACAATTCAGCCATAGAAGCACCCGTCAACTAAACTGACATGAATTGTTTTCTTCTATGGCCGGAAACTAAACATTTAAGTTGAATGCTGTCGAAGGTCATTTGCCCACGACGATATGACTTGTCCCCCTGAGACCGGGCCGGACCATCCGGCGGCCGATCCAACCGAAGCCGAACTAGAGGGAGTCTACTGTACGTAATAAACTGTGTTTATCTTATTATATCAAACTAATTAAATTGTACAGGATTTTGCATTTATATTTAATGTAACTTGTAAATTATTTTATTGATACATATTCATTAACAGAGTCATTGTTTAATTTTGCTGCAATATTCAATCAGAGATAAATTAAGAGTGCAACAGCCATTATTTTGTTTGGGGAAAAGTTAAATAATATTGAAAGTAGAGGTAGCCAGCTGGTTCGGCTAGATACGGATGTGTTAATTGGGGTAGTGTGTGTTTTGTAATAGATGAACCGCCAAAGTACCTTTTTAGTCATAAAATAATAAGCAATCTTCTATCATATACCTCATATATCTTATATCACGCTTAAACAGAAATACTGTTTAACCAGGTTGGACTACGAGACTCGATCTTCACTTTTCAAATCGTTGGCCAACGAAGGATTTGCTGGTACTGGTCATCTCAAAAATTTAAGTAAATATCACACCTCATTTGGCATATTCGGGGTCAGTGTGTAATTGCGCCATATACTTCCCTTTCAATCAGTGGTCAGAGTTTTATTTGTTTATTTTTTTTCTTTTTTTCTTTACAAATAAAACACTGACTACTGACTTATATATTTGAATATGTATTTAAATATATATATATACTACTCTCCTTGCTATTCCCTCTATGACTCTACAACAATTGATTCTTTACAAAT